CGCAACCATGGCCGATTGGAAGCAAAGATAGGAAATTTCGATTGAAAAAATTGGCTGAGGCAATTCTTAGTGAAAATTATGATATTGTAGGATTACAGGTAACCACTCTTATGTCTGAAAGTACTCATTTGTGTTCATGAGTTCATTTTAAGGAGGTATGGGTAGAAACCGACTATCTGGATATGGTCGATAGGCTTGCTAATCAATTTCGATTTCATCATTATTTTCACTCGGGATTTACAGGAAGCGGTGTTTGTGTATTCAGCCGTCATCCCATAGTTTCCACTCTTACGCTTAGGTATGCTTCCTATTACCTTTTATTTTTATTTTTTGACGTACATCATTAGATCTTTTTGAAGATATTCATTGAACGGTTTTGCTCATCATGTTCATCGAGGAGACTGGTTTGGTGGCAAGGTAGGATTGTTTGCAGTTTGTCTGTAATCGATATTGTAATTTGATACAGGATGGCATTCAATTCAAGTCATCTTTTCTTTCATTTTCCAATGTATTTTTTCGTTCGAAATCTGCATCTTCAGGTGGTGGGATTAGTAGAAATAGAAGTTGGTGAGATGAAAGTGAACTTCTACTGCACTCATCTCCATGCCGAGTACGATAGAGAACATGATATGTACTTGTCTCATAGGTATGTAAGCCTGTTTTTTGTTCTAGTGTATAAATTTTTTGTACTCCGATTTTCCTCATATCCGTCTGATTAAGCTATTTATACATCTCAGGACTGCACAATCTTATGAACTAAGCCAGTTTGTCCGTCATACGTCTTGTGGAGCCGATGTTGTTATAGTAACAGGCGATTTGAATATGGAACCGGAGGATTTAGGGCTAAGGTAGTTTTCTCATCTTCTTTTCGAGCCCGCTCAGATTTTTTCTTAGAAACTATAAGTGTTTGCAAGTCTGCAAAGTGTTTTGCTTCAACGAAAGACTATTTGTTTTCCCTATGATTCATGTTTCGCGCGAAGAAAAGTTTGATCGATGTTGTACAGAAAATTCTTCGTCGTTTCATAAAAGAAATTATCTTTCGAAGCCGTTTGCGACGACCTTGAAAGGAATCTTAGGCCGTTTTATCCTCAATCTGTGCTGATAATGTTGCAAAATTTTCCCTACTCATTGTCAGTAACACTACATTGTGATTTTCACTTCTTTTCATGTGTTTTCTTTTTGAATTTTCACATTTTGAGCCGTCTGTTTCTTTC